AGGTAGATTATGAGGAGAAAGTTGCCAATATTTTTTGGGAAAACAGTAGGATGCGTGAAGATTATGCACTTTTTGGAAACTCTGTCTCCTTCGACACCACCTTCCGAATCAATAAACACTTCCGACCATTGGGTATGTTAACCACTTATTTTCCTTATCTTTTTTGGACACGCTTTCGGTTATGCATTGTTTTTAATACCAAGTATTTTGCAGGGATGTTTGTAGGTTTCAATCATCACCGACAAACTTGCGTGTTTGGTGCTTGTTTGTTATATGATAAGACAACTCCTTCTTTTGAATAGTTGTTTGAAGCATTTAGTCGGTGCATAAAGAGGAAACTCCCAGTGACCATCTTCACAGATCAGGATGTCAGTATGGCAGTTGCCCTTAGAAAGGAGTGGCCTACTGTATTTCATGCCCTCTGTACTTGGCACATCTTGATGAATGCGAAGAAGAATCTTCGTAAGAGCAAGAAATTTTGGCATAAGTTCCAAAATCATCTTGCTTTTCTTTTCTACTACGTCGACAGAGAGGCCGAGTTTGATGAGGCATGGAGCAGCATGGTTTCTGATTGTTTTCTCGGTAGTGAAACTGTGGATGGCCACCAATGGATGCAATATCTGAAGAAATTTCGTCATCAATGGTGTTCCTTATATCTGAGAGACCAATTCACAGCGGAGATGTTGACAACGCAAGCCAGTGAGTCGTGCAATGCACAAGTGCGACTCTTCTTGAAACCGAAACATAATCTCGACGATTTTTTCATCCACTTTACCTGGTACGTTATCAAAATATTAGTTTGATTTTTCTGGATATTACTTAGCACCTTACTGATATTTATAGACGCTTTTTCTGGTATTGGTATGTGATGGTGTGATATATTTTTGTTTTGTTTGGATATTTGCTCTGTTTGTATATGGATATCAGTCTAGGCAATCAACATTTTGGTTTTCTTATACATGCAGTTTGTTGACTGACAAAAGGTGCAAAGAGACTGAGTCTGACTACAATGGGAAACAATTAACCCCTTACATAGTGTTGGCGAAAAGCTCGATCCTCCAACATGCTGCCAAGATCTTCACGAGAAACATCTTCAAACGGATTCAAGAGCAGTATCTGGAAATTGAAGACTATCTAATTGAGCTTGTCCCAGATAATAGGGATGATGGCTTCATTAGCTACCTTACATATAAGATGGAGGATGGTGAGCGTAGCGATGAACGTGTCACTCTTGTTGATATTTCTATGGCCACATTGGTATGAAAATGTAGGATGTTTAGAACATTCAGGGTCTTATGTCGGCATATGCTTAAGGTAATGTGATTGCTTTGAGAGTTTGGGAATGATAGTATGAGAACTATTCCAGATCATTACATACTCAAGCGATGGACGATGGAGGCAAGAAGGAAAGGGGTTGGTGATGCTGATGCTTCAGGCGGTACTTCACATAGTCATGAGAATGATACGGGAAAATGAGATATAACAATGAGGTACCGAGAAACCACTACAATATGTAATCAGCTCGCAACAAAATTGTCAATGGCGGATGAGAAAGTGTACAGCAGGTGGATGGGAGCATTGGAGAAAGTGTGCAAGGAGGCAAACAAGGCATTGTCAAAGACTATAACTAGCGAGTATGATTTTTAAATTAGTATAAGTTAATATCATTGGACAGATTACTTAAGCTACTAACATTGTAGGGAATTCTATATCGAAAAGTGGCCTCTCTTTCAAGAAGAAGAGTAATCAAAGGAAGCACGACAAGGAACGTTACCAGTCCGCGAATGAGAAAGAGCATCATCGAAAGAAGATTGTCCATGGAAAGAGATTGGAATCATTGGAAGTGCTCACGCAGGACACCCATTTTCAATATGATGACCATCTCACTGACTTGGAAGGCGACATTGCTGAATTTGTGAGTGGATATTAGTTTGTCAAACTCGGATGTTTATTTATCCTACTACGATATTTCTCTACGTTGTAAGGGTGTTAGTATGTGTTGTAGGGATATGTCTTTTGGTTCAACAAATATTATCTCTAAACATTCGGATATTTCTGCTATATTTTATGTATGTGTTTGTGTGGATTTTATGTATTTCCATCACATATTCTCAGATTTTAGTTTGGGTGTTTTGGATATCACTTTGGATCATATGATATATTTTTGTTTAAGGAAAGATTCTTAATCCATCCTTGATAAAAAATCAGGGATAGAATTAGTATTGTCTACTTTTGTCCAAAAGTTCCCAAACTAACCCAATCACCTTAAACTAATAAAGCGAGCAATCATGATAGAGTTAGTGTCTCCTTTTGTCCAAAAGTTCCCAAAATAACCCAATCACCTTAATACCTTAACATCAACATATGTCAAAGCAAACAGCTGGTGGTAAGTTTCAGCTTCTCTTCCCTTTCTCCTTCTGTGTTGCCCACTCATTTGCCTCCTCAAGTATGACATTCCTTACTTTGTAGTATTGCCAACGAAGGAGTCTGCTGCAATAGATGCTCGCTGGTGCTCCACGTGCTTTTGCGTGTGCCAAGTTTCCTTGTATTCCGATGGAATGTGACCCGCCCAGTGCTCCATGAACATGCATGCGAACACTCCACAGTCATTGTTTCCTTCTTGTTGAGGAACATCCGCAATTAATAAATCCCAATCATGGAAGAGAGCATCGATGTTGTGTTTTGCAAGGAAAGCAGCCCCATATTCTAATATCTTTTTCCCCATTGGACTGTGATCAAACTTGGCCACTGCTGGCCTGGGTTTTTGGTTGTCCAGAAGGAAAGTCTTCTGACTCCTTAGATCAGCAGCGTAGACCCGGTAGTGTTGGTTTGCATGCACATGGAAAAATATCTGAAACATAGAACACATAATTATTTATCCACGAAACCCAACAGAATATCTCTACAGCCCAGACAAGTATCCAGACTAACATTTCAGATATCAACAGGCAAATCTTGAGACAAATCAGTTATTCTCTCGGACAAATATCCAATAAACCCAGACAAGTATCCAAAACTAACATTTCAGATATTCACAGGCAAAATATCCATAATAACAACACAGGATGGTATCCATACAATTCTGAAAAATATCTGAAAGATAGAACACATAATTATTTATCCACGAAACCCGGAAGAATATCTCTATAGCCCAGACAAGTGTCCAAACTAACATCTCAGTTATTCACATGCAAATCATTAGACAAATCAGCTACTCTCTCGGACAAATATCCAATAAACCTAGACTAGTATCCACAAAAACGTATATAAGTATCAAGACAGAATAAGGATTCACTTACATATTCTAATTTGTCAAATACAGCACGTCTGAAGAGTGGAACCCGCTTGGTCACTGCAATGACCGCATCGACTCTCTCCTGGGTCGGGGGCACATTCTTCTAAGCATCAAGTATGTCAAATTGTTGTTTGCAAAGGAAAATAAAAGCTAATTAGTTACAGGATATCTAAATATTGCAAGGTGTGAGTGAAGAGCACACTTACACCAAAAGTGAACGGAAAGATAAGTCTGTTCAATCCACCAGCAAGTGCTTGTCGTTCAAGAAAGACCATAAATATCAATCACTTGGGTATTGACCCACTCTGTTCGCTTTAATGTCAACAATTGAAGACGTTCGGGTTTAAGGGAAGGAGTGTGCACCACCAAGCCCTTAGCCTCGGAGGTACTGAAGACGAACTCAACCACACGACGAGCAACTGGGTTGAGCTTTGTCGACACATCCTTTGACAAATAATATACTGACGAAGAAGCATATGGGTTCTTCTTCAACCTCTCAAACTCTGGGGTCTTTAGTGTTGCAAGCCATTCCTCATGTATGTAGTTGTACATACAGTCTTCTTCCACGAAAGTCATAGCCCTCTCATGCGTGATAATCACATCTGGGCTCCTATGATCGCTCTTACAAGCCACTTCTACCAACTCCTCGTTTGTCGACAACATTACCATCTCTGCAAATGGATCCCGCGCCACTGCATAAGTCGTCTCCACTACTGCCGCAAAAGTTGTCTCCAACACATCATGAGTGGTTGGCTCCACCACCTCATGAGTAGTCGTTTGTAGAACTTCCTCCCTTGTAGGTGGGTCTTCTTCCTCACCAGTAGTAGCCTCATGAGCTATCTGCATAATATCCTCATAAGTTGTAACTGGGGCTGTATAGTGGATCACCATAGGGACTGTCGGCTCCAACACCTGCTCTCTAGTACCCAACTGGATCTCTAAACAAGGCTGGATCACCTCCTCGTCTGGTGTCTCTACAGTCTTCTCTGCTTGATTCTCCACCACCTCCAGTATATTCTTCTCTTTAGGATCTTCTTCACATTTCTCTATAGTATTCATAACTTGTGGCTTGCCCTGGTCCTTCTCTAGAGGATGCTCATCCATTTCCATTTCAACTTCAGTATTCTCCACTTGGTCTTCCACAACCTATGTTCTAAGCTGATCTAGCACCTCCTCAACAATATTCTCCAAAGGTCTCCTGGAATCCACGACCTTGAACCTGTCATGCTCTTCCCTCTTTTCTATCATATGTCCCAATTTTGTGGCCAAGTCCATCAATTTGCCCAAATGCCGGTCAATCCCAGCACCTAGTACCTTAAGCTGGAAGACAAACGAAGAGTTTGCGCAAATTAAAAACTATCAACACACATGTATCCAGTATAATATCCAAACTGCTCGTACAAGTATCCAACTTTTCCACAATGATATCCACACATGTGCGCTTACAAATATTCAAGTTGCCAGAATAATATCCACATATAACAGACATAAATTTCACTGAAATACCCAAATGCATAAAAATAATATCCAAACCTCACAAACCAGTATTCATAACTGAAAATAAAACAAGCTGATGTCCAAATGAAACCAACCAATATTCCAGAACAACAAACTAAAATCCAACTAATATCCAAAGCTATTCCAACATGACAACTTAAGAAAAAGTACAACCCCCGAAAAAAGAACGAAAAATAGTAGATCAAATTCACTCTTGTTGTTCCAAATTCTCGACAAACCTTTGGACCTTGTCCCTTCGAGCCACCCACTTTTCAATCATGCTCTCAGTCATTTCCTTCAATCCCTTAAGCTACACATATGTTGTGAAATATTTAGGTTACTATATGCATCAAAGTCTACCAATGCACTATCTTAAGTAGGGAGGAAAAGAACATTTTACCTGCTCTAGCTGAAGGCTAGTCAAATCTTCAGTCTCCCACCATTCCATGGTGGGCATCGGTGCACGAGCCGGAGGAGGAGCTAAACTGCTCACCGCTGTTGCACTAGTACCCTCAGTAGTCGCTGGTTGGTTGCAAGAGGCGATTTCTTCCCTACTAAGCAGAGCGGCAGCTAGGTCATATCTTCCCTAGTTAAGGGGATAGATGTGCTTGCCCTCTCGACATTTTGCTTCCACCAAAACCGGTAGCTAGGGATGGTCTTTGTGCGCAACCCGCGTAGGCTTAGGGAGTAGGGGTGGGCATGCGGTTCCGTAAACCCGAACCGAACCGAGCCAAAACCGATCTAAACCGAACCAAAACCGAAATTTTGTTGTTTGGTTCAAAATTCGGAAAGGAAGAAAGGGTATTTCGGAACCCAGGGTAGTCATACCGAACCCGAATTCCGAACCCTCGAACCGAAAAACCAAAAACCACCCCCACAACCCGAAGCCCACTCTCCGCAGCCTAATCCCTCCACAGACCACAAGCCCAAAACCCACTCTCCCCAGCCCAGTCCCCCCCCCCCCTCTAAAACCCTAACCCAACCCGTTTATCCTCCTCTTAACTCTCAAGACATGTCTGCAACAACCTCTATCCCTATCCCACCACTAAACCGCCGCCGCTCCAGAATTCCACCACCACCGCTCCAGATCCCGCCACGGCCCCCCTTTCCGCCGCCCCCTGCCCGCCCATCACCCTCTTCCCCTACTCCACCAAACGCTCATCCCCTCCATCCACCACCCTCCTCCCCGTACCTTCACATTTCTTCCTTTCTTCACTTCGAGAGAGAGAGAGAGAGAGAGAGAGAGAGAGAGAGAGAGAGAGAGGAGGGAGGAGGGAGGAGGGAAATGATTAATCTGGCATCTGGGGCAGAGTTTTATTTTTTGTGGGGAGATAAGGTTGTGAAAGGAGGGGAAGGATAATGTGTGGCGGAGATTTTCTTTGGGGAGATAAGGTTGGTTGGTTCTAGAATTTCAGGTTTGGCCCTTGAAACCGTACCTAACCGATCTATAATTCGGTTCTGGTGAACCGAACTGAATTATAGCTTGGTTCGAATTCGGTTGGGATGTATGTAATTTCGGAAATTCGGCATGTACCAGTTCGGTTCGGTTCAAACCGAACCGACCAAACGCCCACCCCTATTAGGGAGTCTAGTAGATGGAGCTGTAAACAAAATTACAGTTAATAAATGTTAAGCGCCATTTCTAGCAATTTAATCAAGGAATATCGAGAGTCACCATAAACAGTATCCTATGTGACTAAAGTGATATCCACAGACCATTTGAAGTTGATTTTTTGCAATTTCACCAACAAGCATCGAGATTCAAAACAAGTGTATCCCATGTGACTAAAATGATACCCAGATAACTTCTAATCAAGAAATATTGTGATTCATAATAAACAGTATCCGAGCTGAGTTAGATGATATCCAAATACGCGATTCACTAGATTTCATGCAATTGAACCAACAAGTATCGAAAAAGGTTAGGACTTACTATCAAGAAGTAGCAATCTCCGAGAACCCACATGCACGGCTTGTCATCCAACCTTTCAACATGTTCTTTTTTCTTCGCAATAGTCAACTATACCTTAAGTTCACGGACAATAAAGGTACACCAATCGTACACCCTAACGTCCTCAATACTCCCACCTATGTATGCGGCAAAGTCTAGCTTGCACCTTCGAGCAAATGTTGGCACGAGCAACGAACCAGTAGCTAGCAACAAGAATTGCTTGACAACCATTGCAACAGGTGGTCTAGGACCTTTGGCTGGAATGGCCAACTCCATCAGATCCTTGACAGGAACATTGAGGCTCCTGTTAGGAATCATGCCGATATCCTTGCTGAAACTGTCGAGCGTCCCCCCCTCAACGTACTTCAGATCAATCACAGCCCCACCGAGAGGAAGGCCGTACACACGTGCCACATCCTCAGGTGTGAAGTTGAACACCTTCTTTGAGTCTCCTTCCCCGAAAACAAAAGTACTTGTTGAGATGTCAAAAGCAGCCATCAAGTCATCCATGAAGACATTGGGAAATTTTCGGCATTCGAAGGTCCAATAGGCCTCCGAATCTTGCCTTCTCGACTTCTTTCTTGCATGCTGCATAATATCCAATATATTGTTTCCAGTAGCTTATCACTTTGAATAGAGAATAGGTAGAGCCACGAAATCTGAAGTATGAACCGCAGGGTCCCTCATCATCTTCTTCCCCATCTTCCTCCTCAACTTCTAGTTGTTGTCGAGCAGGCAGCAACTGTCTTGATCCTTCTCCTTCACGAGACCTCGGTGCAACCATTTTGGATCTCTTCCTCACGGGTTGTTCCTGAAACACAGTTATATATTAAGAAAAATATCCATACTCCCCAGACAAATAACTAAAACGCACAGAACAATATTCATACTAACAAAACTAATATCGACACATCAGAGTATTAGTTTTTAGCCAATATATCCAATTATTATCGTAGTAAAGCAAGAGTGTATCCAAACGGAGATAAATGATATCCATATAAAAAATATCCATAATCCCCAGACAAGTAACTAAAACGTACAGTTAAATATCCACCCTAACCGAACTGATATCGACACATCAGAGTAGTTTTTTAAGCCAATATATCCAATTATTATCGTAGTAAAGCAAGAGTGTATCCAAACACAGACAAATGATATCCATGAAAAGGTATCGGAAACAATAAATAATCGATAAACGAAGTGAGAAATGAAACCTGTGGTGGTTGTTCATCTGGCGGATGCTGTGATGATCCATCTCCTTGACGAGATCTCGGTGCACCCATTTTGGATCTCTTCCTCATGGGTTGTTCCTGAAACACAATTATATATTAATAAAATATCCATATTACCCACACAAATAACTAAAACGCACAGAACAATATCCACCCTAATAAAACTAATATCGACACATCAGAGTAGTAGTTTTTAGCCAATATATCCAATTATTATAGTAGTAAAGCAAGAGTGTATCCAAACAGAGATAAATGATATCCATGTAAACAAATATCATAATCCCCAGACAAATAACTAAAACGTAAAGTTAAATATCCACCCAAACCGAACTGATATCCACACATCAGAGTAGTTTTTTAGCCAATATATCCAATTATTATCGTAGTAAGCAAGAGTGTATCCAAACGGAGATAAATGTTATCCATGAAAAATATATCCATAATACCCAGACAAATAACTAAAACGTAAGAAATATATATCATTCGAAGAGGAGTTCAGTAAGGTCATTAATGGGGTTAAACCTCGAAAGGTATGGAAATCAGTGCAAGCAGTGAGCCAATCAAATGCCTTTGATGTGTTAGCTCAGAAGGAAGTGCAGTTGCAGGTCCCACCTCTTCGGAGGGAGGGACTAAGGAGTCAGAAGGGAGCAGTCAAAGCTCCTTCCACCTCATGATTCTTACTTGGAATGCGAGGGGGTTTAATGCCCCTCACAAGCACAGCTCTGTGCTTGATTTTATTAGAAACTATAGAATTAAGGTTTTTGCTCTGCTTGAGACACGAATAAAGAAGAAAAAGGCTGAGAAAATTAAAGAGAAGTTTAGAAGTTTCCAGATTAAGTATAATTATGATTGTCATCCCCTAGGAAGAGTGTGGGTAGCATGGGATGAGGAAGTGTGAGGTGCTATACTTTGTACAGATGCAAACTTCATCCATGCTTTAGTGTCAGTTTCTCCCAAGGTTCAGTTCTTCTTCACAGCAGTATATGCATCAGACAATGAGGCTGAGCGATCAGCAACTTATGTTAGACTAAGGAAATGGAGAGTCAGAGGTTTTCCATGGGTGGTATGTGGTGATTTTAATGACATTATCAACCCGTTTGAGGCGTCTAATATTGTTACACCCCGCTGTTCCCAAAAGTCAAAATGACTATTATACCCTTTGGTCAAGTTCCACCGTTTTATCGATAAGGATTAAAAATGGGAACTATCGGTTCAAGCGGTGCCGAATTTCGACATAAAATGAGAAAGTTACGGGCATTAATTGAGTTTCGGATTAAACTCACTCGTAAATTATGTAATGCCCAGAATACCCCTCCAATTTCAACTATATCACCTATTGCCGCCTTCCTTATGTTGAAAAGGAGACTTTGACCTTTTAGGGTTTGGAACTTTCGACCTGCCAATTAAAATATTGGCCAGCCCACACGTCTATAGTTCCCTCTCGCTTCCTTTCCTTCACGATTCCCCGGCCGGACCTCTGTTTGCGCCTCCTCCGAGTCGCCGCCACCATAGGAAGCTACTGCTGCCGCACCTCCATGACCACGTCATCGTCATCATCACCGTCGCGCCAGACCATCATCACCAACAGTCACCTCCCACCATCACGCCTCGTTTACGGTCTTCTCCGGCAGACGCGCCTCGATTACCGTCTTCTCCAGTAGCCGCCACGACCGGATACGATAACTTCTGTCGGTGATAAAATGAGTGAAATTGAAATCCTCGCACATGAACTAGTAGTTGAGGTTCTCAAGAAGCAAATCAAGGAACTTTCTACTGAGAAGGAACATATTGAGAGCACTCTCAACCGTGTGACTATGGATCTGTCCCTCCTTCAGATTGGAGGCAGTAAAGAGGAGCTTAGGTTATCTGAGCTATTTCACCAATTGAAAGCTGATATTGATACAGAAAAGCTTCATTTATCTGAGCAAGTTGAAAAATTAGTGGGTGTGTTGAATGATGAAATAGCCCAGGGTCGTGCACATGCCGAAGCCTCCTCAAAGTCTCATTCAAGCAAATTTAGCAAACTACAAGACTCAGCTTGCAGGAAGATTTCAAAGCTGGAAACTATGAATCGAAAGAGCATGGAGGAGAAGCTACTCACGGAAGCTGCACTTGAATCTATGAGGAACGAATATGCAATGACGGAGTCTCCGATGACGAACCCGGTGTGGTCGAACTCAACCATACTTCAAGAAAAGGGTACGGTGGCGTAGCTGACGATCCCAGGTGTATCCCCGTGTCGACGAAATCGAATTCGGACGTCGGATGAGGGAGATACGAGGCTCGAAAGTTTGGGACGCAATCGGATAGTTCAGGTACCATTCTTGGCAATTCGAGAAGTTAGAGGATTAAATGTGTAATTCTTCCAAAGAGGTCGTGCTCAACTGTGTTGACTGGAAAATTTCATTTTTGGTACCTGGTACTTTTAAACTGACTGAATGTTTATTTTGGTCATAACTCGATTAATTGACGTCCGATCGAGGAACCGTCCGCGCCTACGTAATCGTGAAAGCTAGGAGAATATTTTGGGAGCAAATATGGAAATTTTTATAGCAGAATTAGAGTAGGATTCGATGGATTCGAGGTGAGTGTAAAGGGGGTAAATTCTACGCCTTACGTGTTCTTTCAAGAGTACAAGTTTTGAGTATTTGATGAAGTGAATGTCGTCGTTTGGTTGTGCTTATGGTTGATGGTATGTGATTTTGTTTGAGCCATGCTTGATGTGACTGTGCATGAGTTTTATTTAAATTTAAGCTTTAAGTTTATAAGTTATTGTTTAAGTTAAGAAGCAAGTCCTTTTTAAGAAGTAACTCACCTTCAAGAAGGTGAAGTCGTTTTTAGTGTTTTTAGTCACTAGCGCCAGCCCGTTGCTTTTGAGACAGTTTGAGATAGAGCAACAGTTATGCTCTTGAGATTTTAAGATGGGCAGCAGTTATACCCTTGAGAATCGTGGTGAAGAGCCACCACGATAAGTTTAAGATGTTAGGGGGATGAATCGTTACGACTTCCCTAACTAAGTTTAAGTTTAAGGAAAGCCTTGATGGCTTCTCATACGTATGAGTTGGCAACCGGACTAGCTAGTGAGGGATCCCAGTGTCAGTCAAGTATTTAAGTTGAGATTTAAGCTTTAAGAGTGGAGAGTAACAGTAACTCCCATACAATTTCAAGAGTTAAGCTTTTTAGTAGTGGAAGTACAAAACAACTTCCACTCAGTTAACTCAAGTGACCAAGTTTTAATAAGATGTTAAACGTAAGGGCATAGAATGACCCCATCTCACTCACCAGGATTTAGTAAAGGAAAAGCGAGAACTAGACCGATAGTTGCAGCTAGAGGAGCAGTTAGTGAGCAGCGAGATCGAGAAAGCTGTTCGAGGCAAGCCAGCTAGGGGAGAGCAGTATAAGCGTCACAGAGGATGCTTAGTCAAGGGTTCAGTAGCAACAACAACAACACTAGAGATTGTCAGTTGTTTACATTTATGATTATGAGTATAGACTGGAGATCAGATTGAGATTCTAAAGTTTGAGTTTGATTTGCCCATGTGTTAGGGCTTTGCTTTGAACTACAAGTGTGTGTTTTCAGTATTTTATTTATGAAAATTTTTCCCGCTGCAATTTAAGCTTCAAGTATTTATTTATCAAGGGAATTTTAGTAAAAGTAGGACCCGGCCGGGTTAGGGTGTTACATTTTGGTATCAGAGCCGGTCTTCCTCTGTTCCTTGGTCTTCATGGAATACTGGAATGTCGGTCTCAGTTTTTAAAGGTTTTGTTTTAGAGGAAAGGGAAATCGAGTCAAGGATCTTCTTTTAAGAGTTTATAGGATCTCCAGTCTACTTAAATCATATTAAGGTGAATAACTATGACAGCACGGCACGAAGGGATGGTAGCCCGGGGTGCGATTGTTTAAGAATAGGCTGGAACGCGATTTAGTTAACATGTCGTGGTTTGTCAAATGAGAGATTTAGGCATATGGTCATCGCCAGTAAGAAAAAAGGGTGAAAGAAGCGTGACCAAACCAAAGAGGATCTCAAAGGCTCTCAAGATCAAGTATCTCATCGACATGATGGATAGTAGTTTTTGAATTAGTTAATCAACTACTCGGACGTTAGCAAACAGATCATCGTCATCAACCTAGAGAAGGAAGGAGGAACATAGCAAAGGTCGGTGGATGTAGAATCAAATGTGCGAGGTCTTCACCTCCAAACACCAGCAAAGAGGTGCCAAGTGAAAGGGAATACCTCAAGGATTTGAAGGAGATGAGAGAGTAGTACGATGATTTTACTACCAGGAAACAAGTGGATGATCTAATAAGCTAAGACAAACAAAGGGGAGAAATATGAATCTCCAAAGGAAGACGAACAATCACCAGATGCCAGTAGCTATAATACTAGGATAATGTTAGGGTCTTTGGTCCTAAGCAGTGGAAAGTGGTCAACGGGTCAAGAAACGAAGAGGTACCCCGAGAAGTCCCTCAACTAGTTTTTGTGGTCGATGGCTCGACGCGATTACAACATAGTGACAAGGAGAAAAGGAAAGTTTAGACCTTAAAGGAATTCTGTGGTAGTATAATGGAAGCAAAGGAGGAAATAAGTCGGTTTTAGGGAGTATGAAAGGACGTCAAGAAGTCAATAGTTTGAGGAGGAGAGGAGGCATGGTCGTTTACATATGAGGACAAAGGAACCCTTATAGATAAACTACGTCACTAGAGAAAAGGGTACATGACCCTGGGGAATAAGGCTGATAGCAAATCCTTACAAGGAAAATAACAAGCGTCAAGATAATCGAGGTAGAGGACGAGCTTGGATCAAGAATAACAATGTGCTAGTGAACAACGCCGAGCTAGAAAGGGGATGGAATGGGATATAAGAGGCCGTACAAACTACCCAAATCACGAAAGGTCACGAGGTCGTTGGGACCGTTGAAAGGGGGATGCAAGAGTTCGTGATGATCTTTTGCGTCATTGGCCTATCCAAAAAGGAGGGAGCACCTATCCACCTAGTAAATGATGGGTGATAGAAGGAGTAACTTCTGTAATAAGTTGAAACTAGGGGGCGAAGAGCTAGGTCTGAGAACTAGCTATAGGAGTAAGTCATTAAGCCAACCGAGCATAGACAAGTGACTCAAATTCAAGAAACTGTATAGTGGAGTACGACGTGGAAAAGCATTACTGGGAAGGAGGAAATCATTAAGTTACCTTACCCAAGGTTCCCCACTCTGAACGAGTACGACAGAGTAGGATATCATCCATAAAAGAGGCCAGTTAAGGATAAATTAGTGATTTTTAGTTAAGCCACTGAGAGCCATGACAAAGAGATTAAGGCTGTGTACAAGCATCGGTCGAGACAAAAGACATGGAATGTGTTATGTTAAAGGTTACCAAGGGCAAGCCACCACTGGAAGTTGTGACCTAAAACAACAACGAGAAGATACTCAACAGAGGTTGGTGACCAAATATAGTACAAGCACACAACAGAAGAGTTGTAGTTTGAGGGTAGTAAAAGTAAAGAAGCAAGGAGAACACCATAGAACGCTATAGGAAGAAAAAAAGGTGGTTGTCGACCGGACAATGAATGCGTGAAGGAAGATAGTTGGGACGTGGTCAAGCACCATCGTAGAAGTTGTGGGTGTCATCTGGCAAGTCTACCTAGAGAAAGTTTCTAGAGGAAATGTTGGCTCGGAGGTATGGCGAGGAGCTACTAAACTGAGTAGATCAAAGCTAGTACCAAGCATCGATGAAGGAGTTGTGGAAGTAAGGAGGAAACCACAAGGCTATAATGAAGGTTATGGTGAAAAGGGTGGTAGTTGATAAAACTACAAATTCAGGGAGAAAGATAGTTAGGAAGAGCCGGCGAAAGAATACGGAGGTCAACAAGGAGGCGTTAAGGTGATTGCCAGTGGAGAATAAGTTGGACCATAGGAAGCCCATCAAGAACTGAGAAGCTCAATGGTCAACTTTAAAGTACAAGTGTGGTGGTCCAGAATGGTCAAAGGGAAAACCTTATCGGTCAAGGTACATAAGTGAGAAGAGAATATGGGCACCAAGATAACTACATCGAGGACGAGGGACATATGGAACTAGCGAGAAACATCGGTAAGAGGAGTCACGAGTAAAGAAGTAAGATGTATATGAGTTTAGCAAACATGCTAGGATACCCTAAAGTGAAAGCAATACCACCTATGAGGATGAAATGTGGCGATCTCTCGGGTGAAAATTTCTTGGACGGGGAAACTGTACGAGGAACTTCAGGCAAGGTCAAAGAACAATAGAAGAGATCGTACGAGAACTCCCAAGTCAAACGATGATAAGGAAGTGTTAAGTTAGGTGCCAGGAGTGAGCAAGTACGCAAAATGGAAGGTCATAATTCTGGAAGGATTCATAAAGTTGATCGCAAGCTAGAGAAAGACGCAAAGGATGCCTCTAATGCATACAGTAAGTAGAAACAGTAGTATGAGGTTCCAACACTAAGCAGCAAGTAACGAGGTGGCGACAATTCAGTTTATGGTTAAGGGATAAGACGAGGCATTGAGGAAGAAAGTAAGAGATGCAGAGTTAGGAGATACAAGGACCTAGGTGACCTATGAGGTCAACCCCAGACGAGATTTACGTTAAAAGAGTTTTACCATCTGACTAGATGGAGGATAAGTCGCCATCAGTGACCTTGGGGTTGGAGAGGGGCATTAACTTCTCATATACCGAACAATGGATAGTTATCGTTCCTATATATGTACAAGGTGAAACCGAGGTAATGTGAGGGGTTAAGAAGCCACAACAACATTGAAGTTGCAGGGAATGGAGAAAAGGATTTTAGGTCATGTCGTATAAGTTAAAGGAAATAAAAATCCGTGAAGTGAAAAGGATTACCACAAGCGATGCTTAGGGCAATCACAGCGGACAAATTTTGAGGGCGAAATTTCTATAAGTGGAGAGGAAATGTGATACCTCGACTGCGATAGGTTCGACATCAAGTACTGAATCAGTTGGACCAAATAAATTGAGCCGAAATTTTGTCCATCACACCCTGGGCCCAAGTTGAAAATTTTAAAAAGGGCAATGAGTCACTCAAACCTATTCGATGCTACCAAGCTAGATGAGAGCATATGTTATGGTCAAGAGTACATATAAGAACTATAGTAAGCTATTCAAGACAAGGTAAGGGCACGCCATTGAAGTTCATATAGAAAGAGTGAAATCTTGAGCTAAAGAAGCACAGGAATGAGTAGTATGGAAGGATGCGCCCGATCAAATTTCGAGGACGAAATTTTTATAAGGGTGGAGGAAATGTTACACCCCGCTCTTTCCAAAAGTCAAAATGACTATTATACCCTTGGGTCAAGTTCCACCGTTTTATCGATAAGGATTAAAAATGGGAACTATCGGTTCAAGCGGTGCTGAATTTTGACATAAAATGAGAAAGTTAGGGCATTAATTGAGTTTCGGATTAAACTCACTCGTAAATTATGTAATGCCCAGAATACCCTTCCAATTTCAACTATATCACCTACTGCCGCCTTCCTTATGTTGAAAAGGAGACTTTGACCTTTTAGGGTTTGGAACTTTCGACCTGCCAATCAAAATATTGGCCAGCCCACACGTCTATAGTTCCCTCTCGCTTCCTTTCCTTCGCGATTCCCCGACCGGACCTCTGTTTGCGCCTCCTCCGAGTCGCCGCCCCCATGGGAAGCTACTGCTGCCGCACCTCCACGACCACGTCATCGTCATCATCACCGTCGCTCCAGACCGTCATCACCAACAGTCACCTCCCACTATCACGCCTCGTTTACGGTATTCTCCGGCAGCCGTGCCTCGTTTACCGTCTTCTCCAGCAGCCGCCACGACCGGATACGATCACTTCTGTCAGTGATAAAATGAGTGAAATTGAAATCCTCGCACATGAACTAGCAGTTGAGGTTCTCAAGGAGCAAATCAAGGAACTTTCTACTGAGAAGGAACATATTGAGAGCACTCTCAACCGTGTGACTATGGATCTGTCCCTCCTTCAGATTGGAAGCATTAAAGAGGAGCTTAGGTTATCTGAGCTATTTCATTAATTGAAAGCTGATATTGATACAGAAAAGTTTCATTTATCTGAGCAAGTTGAAAAATTAGTGGGTGTGTTGAATGATGAAATAGCCCAGGGTCGTGCACATGCCGAAGCCTCCTCAAAGTCTCATTCAAGCAAATTTAGCAAACTACAAGACTCAGCTTGCAGGAAGATTTCAAAGCCGGAAACTATGAATCGAAAGAGCATGGAGGAGAAGCTACTCACGGAAGCTGCACTTGAATCTATGAGGAACGAATATGGAATGACGGAGTCTCCGACGACGAACCCGGCGTGGTCAAACTCAACTATACTTCAAAATAGGGGTACGGTGGCATAGCTGACGATCCCAGGAGTATCCCCGTGTCGACGAAATCGAATTCGGACGTCGGATGAGGGAGATACGAGTCTCAAAAGTTTGGGATGCAATCGGATAGTTCAGGTACCATTCTTGGCAATTCGAGAAGTTAGAGGATTAAATGTATAATTCTTCCAAAGAGGTCGTGGTCAACTGTGTTGACTGAAAAATTTCAGATTTGGTACCTGGTACTTTTAAACTGACTGAATTTTTATTTTGGTCATAACTCGATTAATTGACATCCGATCGAGGAACCGTCTGCGCCTACGTAATTGACACGCCAAAAACAACACCAAATTGCGACCAAGTGTAATCGCAGAATGGGACTGCAGTAAAGTGGCAAGTTCTAAATATCAACCCGGGGTCTAGATCTACTGCCTACTCCGTGATTATCTATTATCTAGCCAACTAAGTCGATTGATTGTTGTTTTAACTAAAAGCAGAAAGAAAGCAGGAATTGGTTCGGTTTTCTCAAGCAAAGGAAGAGTCACTTGGGAATGAGTCCCCATAGCTCCTTAGTTAGGTCTCAGTTGTAATTACCCTGGGTTGATTTACTGTTGATTAGACTGCGGAAGATCCGACAGTAGCTTGGAATCTCTTAAGCTGACCAAGCCCTCTCAGACTAACTACCCGGCAGACGACTAGTCTTCACCGGGATAGAAAGCTGAAGCAATAAGCACAAAACTCCACTACTGGAATTGGATTCCAGTACAAAGCAGTAGACTGACTAACTCTCGTATAGCCAATCTACTACTACCGAATGATGAAGCTCTAACAACCTAATCAGATTCCATCTCTCTGAGGTTGCAGCAGAAATCAAGAAAAGCTGATCAGACTTCAATCAATTAAATGAAACATGCATCATTCGATTGAAACCAAACAGTATAATCATCCCAAGTCATTACAATCAAATCCCTAACACATGGAACTAGGGTTCTTCATACCCTAGTGAGAGAAGGGTTATACTCCATAGAGAGAGAGAGGAAAACAGAAATCAGAGTAGTCATACTCATAAAGATGAGGAAAATATGCTCTGGGATGTCGATCTTCACTCCTGGGGACGCAATCTGGGCTTCAATGGTGAGAAATCCACTCCAAATAGCTCCTAGGGTTTGTTCTTCGCCCTTTCTCTCTCTAAAACTCTGTTTTTGCTCTGAAAAGTCGATTCTCTCACTTGTGGCTCGAATTTGGGTAAAAACCAGAATTCCCGACTCACACGGGCCGGCCACACGGCCGTGTGACTTACCCAGATGCCCGTGTGAGAGACAAAACGCGGCGTTTCAAATAATTAGACTTCAGGCTACCTACACGGCCAGGGACACACGGCCGTGTGGCATGCCCAGTCTGCCGTGTGAAGGCTCGCACAATCCCACACGGCCACATTGGTTCCTCACACGGCCGTGTGGGTTTTATGTGTGCCCGTGTGGCTTCCTCAAAGACTCAGCACACGTCCGATCTTCGTCCAATCGATCCCGAACTCGCTCCCAAACCTTCATTCAACGTACTAGGACCTGAAATATCACAAACAAGCACAACCTAGCGTGGAATCCGCCTAAAACACGAGAATCAACATCTCAAACGGCTCAGGAATAGGGGTAATAACATGTGCAATCAACGGTTTATCAAACTCCCCCACACTTAACCGTTTGCTTGTCCCCAAGCAAACCAATTTAGACACAAGGTAAGCTCACATATTTCAATCATACCAACATTGGGGACAAATCATATAGGCACAGAAACACGCGAATCATACTGGCTTTCAAACATCAACACACGAACAACTTCAATAGCAACCTGGACAACCACCACAGACGACATTTGAGTGCAGCAAAATCGAATAAAGGAGGAGTCCCCCTTCTGTTCAACAACCAACATAGACTTGACTCAACCACTTACTCAAGACAGTCACCTCATGCATAAAACTCAAGAGATCAGAATCAAGACCAAGCCATCTAGGTCCTCACCGGGGTAAAGAGTGTAAATAACAAGGAAATGAATCACTCACTCTCGATCAGTGGGGTCAGGACAATTTGATGCGAAAAAGGCGCATACTTATTCTCTCAATTCCTAACATCTCTTCACCATGACGGCAGCCTCTAAGTGTTAGAGTTCACATAAATGGGTGTCATCACTAACTAATCCGGAGGTCTTAGACACAGGTTCAAATGACTGGTTAGGGTCTTGGACATGGGGAAAAGTTCTTTTAAGTGGTGGAAGTATTCATAGCACAAGGTTCCACATTTCCAAACCCAACAAACCCACAATCAATCAAACCAGTACTTTCTTTCTACTATTCTGCATTACTCAAATTCTTCGGAGCACAAGAGCGAAGAAGGTCACATAAATGTTAGTATTTCTAAGCCAGACTGCTAAGAAACACTACTTAATGGACACTATTTAGATTTTTGGTGGTGGCTCTCTTTTGCTTTCATTTTTGCTTTGATTTATTTCATCATTTTTTTTCATTTCTTAAGAGAACCACCACCTCTGCACATTTTTCAAACACCTGCCCAACTTTTTAAGAACTACCTCCAACTCTCACATTATAATTAGCAGAAACATCAGAGAACATGCAAAAACCACTCTGTGGAACCTTCTAAATGATGCAAAGGGGTGATTTTCCATTTAGACCGAAAGAAAGGATAACACACGGCTCAAAGGGGCTGACTAGGGGGTATGACACACCAGGACAGTCAATTTGGTTGTGGGCTAATCCTATGCCTCCATCATCTTAGCTAATGACAACGTGAATGCTACACATCATGGAAGAGGGAACTATCGCACAAGAAAGAAACGAGCAGGCTCAAATCTCACATGGCTACCTATATGCTCTATCTCTCATTCTGATTCCCTAAACTAGATGCATAAACGACTGTCAAGAACAAGTGATCCATTCAAGTCACAGTTGGTAAGCAAACAGTTGAAAAACTGAACCCCTACACAACTCTAGTACACGTCTCAGTCATCATTATAGGTTGTCCTAGTCACAATCCAGTTGTCATGCATTAATCCGAAAACCATTCAATTCACCAATCAAAACACAGTGCCAATATGATCAAACAGCCGTACTTGGAGCTCTCAAATCTTGAGATTTGGACAGCGGACTAGGCTTCAAGCACACGTATATAGATTCCAACCGATACAAAGCACCCCCCACACTTAAGCACGACATTGCCCTCAATGGAGCATAGGGAGAGAGAAGGGGAACGATGTTATCGGATTGAAATGCTGCGGGAGACTGGTAGTGGACCAGTCAGCGGGGAACATATGGAACGAACGGGCAGTTCTGCACTAATGGAACATCAATAACACACTAGCACACCGTGCGTTAGGGATCAGAGTTAGCCCAGATGGCCACAAAATCAACAATCCACAAAAGAAAACCAAAAGGACAAAAACAACCGAAAAAATTAGTTCAAGCTCCTCAAACACATGGAGCAAACATAAAAAGTCTAAAAAACACACACTAAGGGGCGACAAGTACAGCCTACTCGTCGCCAAGGTTTTCCAGATCGATGTCATTCATGAATGCATCATCATCATCAACTGGTGGAAGTGGAAGTGGAGAGTCCTCCCAGGGAGTCCTCCAGACTGGCTGCTCACCCGGTAGCAGCTGGAGCAGATGCTGCTGGACCTCCTGCATGTGCCGAGATCGGGCCTGCTCCCTCTCGATGCGAGCCAGGGTCACCCCCTGCTGGGTCTCTATCCGATCAAGACGCTCATCATAAGCGGCAAACCAGGTCTGGTACTCGGCATGGTGAGCCGAATACTGCTGCTGGAACTGGAGCTGATGGTCGTAGAGCTGCTGATTCTGGAGATGCAGCTGCTTGAACTGCTGAGTGAAGTAGTCCTGGCCGGGGAAAGTGGAACTGCCACCCCCGTACTCGAAGGTGGTGGGGCGGGCGGCAGCAGTATCATCCACATCCTCGGGATGGACCTCCTCATCAGCCGCAGCCTCAGGAACCTCCGGCTGGTCCTCCGCTGGGATCTGAGGTTGAGGAAACCCCTCGATCCACTTGACTCCTCGCTCTTCTCAAAGCAGGTGCATGCGACCTATCGTATATGCGCCAAAGACACTGGTGTCCCCCTGCTCTGTGCACCCCTGCAGTGATATCTGGAAGTAGGTGACCAGGCGGGTGATGAGGGGAGTGCAGTGGAGTTTCTTCAGCTATGAAGCACTCATGTCAAAGGTTCTTGCCACCACAGAACCCAAGTAGAGAAGATGATCCCCCTGGCGCATGGACTGGATGAAGTACATGGCTCTCCGGGTGATGGCGCTGGCATTGTCTGAGGCTGGAGTGTAGGACTTTGCCAGCAAGTGGTGGAGAATGTGGTTGTCGAGCTGCAAGGTGCTGGCCTTTGTCTTCCCCGCCTGGAAGGGACGCTGGCCTGGCCGAGCGAGGCGGGTGTACAGTGTCCTGAAGTCCACCCCCTCTGGCTCGGTGAGCTCGGTGATGTATTCCTCATCATCAACCAGGCCGAGGCCGAGGGCGGTCGCAAGGTCGTGGTAGCTCATGGATCGGGGTGCACCGCCGAGCCTGAACTTGACGGCTTCTCCGTCCTTCCAATCCGCCGTGTCTGCGTGCTTGAAGGTCGGGTGGAACTCAAGCACGAGCTCGTGGTAGACCTTCTCGCGAATGAATAGTAGACGGCGTCAGGGGCGGTTGGTGACAATGGCGGAGAAGTGCTCGTAGCAGTGCAGCGTCTCAAACTCCCGCTTGGACCAGCAAAGATGCTGCCCAAACTTGCAGGCCAGGACGCTCTTAAAACGATCCTGGTGGGGGCCCCTCTTCAAATCTCGAATAAACTGGTGCTTGAGGTCGGGCTTCGTCATGGTCCTGCAAAAGAACAACCCACAGTGGAACCAAAAGAGCCAAGGAAAAGGTTAATCACACCCCCACACTTAAGAACAGAAAACAGCCGAACCATGGTTTCATCCATAGTTCAGGGGCCAAAAACTCGATCAAACAAGCATAATCGGGGTGGGGGTGCACATCCATGAAAAAGTAGGAAACTCAAGGTTCACATCCATAGCAAACACACCCTCAAAGCACATCATTAAGGTCCCCAACCGGCACCCACAACATGGCATGAAAAACAGGCATTTCATCGAACACCTTGTGTGCACTATTAAGTTAAGCATGAAATTGACAAATTCATAGCACACAAGGGCTCAATTAAGCAAGAGGGACATTGCCCAACCTCATTCACACATAAACCAAGCATTCCCCTCAATCAATTGCACACAATTCACATGATTCAAGGTTGTTCTCTAAACATACACCCTAACACCCAATTCTCCATAAATCACAAGGTTACGGTCAAAATCAAACCTGGAGACACAAGTAGAGGTGTAGGGGATGATGAGGGGAAGGCAATGGAAGCGACGAAGAGGCCAAAATCTGCCCGGAAGTGCTCGTCGGAGCCTCGCCGAAGTCTCGCCGGAAATCGCCTCCAGCGACTCAGAATCGGCTCAAATCGCCTCAAAGTCGATGGATAGGCCGAAAATGGGGAGAAAAGGATGGGTGCGGAGGTGGTTTGGTGAAAAGCCGACCAAAAATGGCCGAAAATCGCCAAAGAGGGCGAAAGGTCGCGGTTTTCCGGCGAGGGGGAGAGGTTTCCGGCGAGAGAAGTTGAATTTTCTGACCACGCGGCCGTGTCGGCCAAATTTATAGAGGCTGGCTCGGTCACACAGGCAAGCTCACACGGCCGTGTAAATTGCACATGTGCCCGTGTCGGCCGACACGGGCATGCCAAGGATTTCCACACGAACGTGTGAAAAGCACAACTGGCCGTGTGGAAATTGACGAGAGCTCACACAAGCAGGCCGAGGATTTCCACACGGCCGTGTGAAAATCACAACTGGCCGTGTGGAAATTGTCGAGAGCTCACACGACCAAAACCCATTTTCACACGGCCGTGTGACTTTCAGGGCTGGCCATGTGGGCTGCCAGAACTCCGAATTTGACCTGTTTTCACTAAAAAACGACATACGACTCGTGAACAACACCTCAAGACTAAAAAACACATAAAATCAAAAGGAAAAAGGTAAGAAAATGCAAACCTAGGTGGGGTTGCCTCCCCACAAGCACTTCTTTACCGTCTTTTAGCTGGACGCCAGGAGAGGAACTAAGGGTCCTCGAGCTTGATCAGCAGCTCTGCGCGCTCGACAGCACCTCCCAAGTACAACTTTAGGAGGTGGCCATTCACCTTGAATGGATCAGTTTGAGCATTGCTGATCTCCACCGCACCGTGCGGGAAAACTTGGGTGACCGTGAAAGGTCCCGACCACCTCGAACCTAGCTTGCCCGGAAAGAGTTTCAGGCGTGCATTGAAGAGAAAAACACGATCACCTACATGAAACTCCTTCGGGCCCCTCAACCGAGCGTCGTGGAGACGCTTGGTTCGCTCTTTGTAGAGCAGGGTGTTCTCGTAGGCGTGGTAACGCCATTCCTCCAACTCCAGCAGCTGCAACTTACGTTCAGTACATGCAACACTCAAATCCAAGTTTAGCAGCTTAATGGCCTAGAAGGCCTTGTGCTCTAGCTCTACTGGCAGATGAAACGCCTTCCCATAGACAAGCCTATAGGGAGAGGTGCCAATCGGGTTTTTATAGGCCGTCCTATATGCCCAAAGAGCATCATCAAGCTTGGTGGACCAATCCTTGCGGGACTGATCCACCGTCTTTTCAATTATCCGTTTAAGTTCCCAGTTCGTCAGCTCAGCTTGCCCATTGGACTGGGGTGGTAAGCCACCGACACCTGATGCTTAACACCATAGCGAGAGAGGAGTTTAGTGAATTGCCCTTGAAAATGGGTTCCTCTATCACTAATGATGGCGCGGGGTGTCCCGAACCGGGAGAACAGCTGCTTCAGAAATGAGCAGACCCGTCTTGCATCATTGGTGGGCATGGCTTGAGCTTCTGCCCACCTCGAGACGTAGTCCACTGCAACCAATATGTACAGATTGCCAAAAGATGGAGGGAATGGGCCCATGAAATCGATACCCCAAACATAAAAAATTTCACAGATGACAGAAATATGTTGGGGCATCTCATCCCGGGAAGAAATGTTACCTGACCTTTGGCAACGGTCGCACTATCGTGCGAAGGTGTCTGCATCCTTGAAGAGTGAGGGCCAATAGAAGCCCGACTGTAATACCTTCCGCGCCGTGCGGTTTCCTCCATGGTGACCTCTAGTAGGTCCCTCGTGGCATTGAGACAGGATGTCTCCCATCTCATGCTCCATGACACAGCGCCGGATCACGCCATCTGCTCCGATCCTGAAGAGGTAAGGATCCTCCTAGAAGTAATGCTTCAGATCGGAGAAGAACTTGCGCTTTGCATGAGTGGCCATCCCCTTAGGTAGCTGCTTGCCCACCAGATAATTGGCAAAGTCAGAATACCAAGGGACCACGCTTTCCACCAGTGTCATCGTCAGCAATCTCTCACCCGGGAAGGATTCATTGATCTCTTCCACGAAGTTGTCCACCGGAGGGGCTTCCAATCGTGAAAGATGATCTGCAGCAACATTCTCGGCTCCCTTCTTGTCCCGGATTTTGATGTCAAATTCCTGTAGGAGCAGGATCCAGCGGATGAGCCTAGGCTTTGCATCAGCCTTGCTCATCAGGTAGCGAATCGCCGAGTGGTCAGTGTAGACCACCACATGGGAGAGCACCAGATAGGGTCGGAACTTATCAAACGCATACACCACGGCGAGGAGCTCCTTGTCAGTGGTGGTGTAGTTCTCCTGTGCATCATTCAAGGTCTTGGACGCGTAGTAGATGGGCTGGAAGTGCTTCCTGCGTCTCTGACCCAGAACTGCTCCGACTGCATAATCACTCGCATCGCACGTCAGCTCAAAAGGAAGAGACCAGTCAGGAGTCACCATGATAGGTGCATGGGTAAGCTTCTCTTTCAGAGTATCGAATGCAGCTGTACACTCAGGAGTGAACTGGAATGGTGCATCCTTCTCCAGCAGCTTGGTCAGAGGCAGTGCAATCTTCGAGAAATCTTTAATGAAGCGCCGGTAGAAGCCTGCATGACCCAGAAAACTGCAAATCCCCTTCACAGAGTTCCAGGTTATGGAGACAATGAGTGAAGGAGTCTCCATAGACCGAGAAGTCATCCATGAAGACTTCCATGATCTCTCCGACCAGTCGGTCGAAGATCTCCATCATGCATCTCTGGAAGGTCGTTGGTGCATTACACAACCCGAATGGAATCCTGCGGTAAGCAAAAGTGCCGAAGGGGCAAGTGAATGTGGTCTTCGCCTGATCCTCTGGTGCAATAGGAATCTGGAAATAACCAGACATGCCATCCAGGAAGCAATAAAACTCATGGCCAGCCAACCTCTCCAGCATCTGATCAATGAAAGGTAGGGGAAAATGATCTTTCCTGGTGGCGTCGTTCAGGCGCCTGTAATCGATGCACACTCCCCAGCCGGTCACAGTCCGCATTGGGATCAGCTCTTTCTTCTCATTCGGGACCACAGTCATCCCGCCTTTCTTCGAGACCACTTGAGTGGGGCTGACCCACGTGCTATCAGATATAGCAAAGATGATCCCTGCATCCATGAGCTTCACAATCTTTGCCCGGACCACTACCTCCAAGTTAGGAGACAATCTCCTCTGCGGCTGCCTGACTGGCTTAACCTCATCCTCCATCAGAATTCTGTGGGAGCAGAAGGATGGGCTAATGCCTCTGATATCTGTGATCTTCCATGCCATGGCCCGGGCATACTTCTGCAGCAGAGCCACCAGCCTGCTCTTCTGCTCGGGTGTCAGATCCGAGCTAATAATGACCGGGAGCTTATTCCCCTCCCAGAGAAATG